TACTTCGATGCAGCCGTGAAGTAAAAAATAAGCCGATGACCTGAGAAGAGGGAGCACAGATTACTTCTGTTCCCACTCATGGATGACTGACAGCTCCTCAGCTAACTGAACATTCCGATTAAAGCATGTAAGATCAAGGGGCATCCTATGTTCAGTTATACTCTTTGGAGGTTTCGACGTCTGTCAGAAATGGAGATCATCTTTGATCTGAGGGAGTCTCAGTCATTTTCCATATCACTGGGACAAAATACCTGACACCCACAATTTAAATGGCACAGGAGGCGGGGAGTCGGGGAGGATATTTTGGCTCATGTTTTAGTCTGTGGTCAGCCAGCTCCCAGCATGGCAGAGGTGCGTGGTGGAGGAGAAGTAGCCTCACCTCATGCATGCAGGAGACAAGGGAAGAACTGGAAGTAGATAAACCCTTCCAGGCCATGTCTCCAGTGACCCACCCCTTCCTACTAGACGCCACCTTCCAACCAGTGAGATACAGTCTGAGGTGCATGAGGCTTTTGGAGGCCATCTAGGTCTAAACCATAACAAAAGGTGACTTCTAATCTCTTTCCAGATTTCTTTCAATCCTTTGTTCCATTCTTTGCTCCAGAAATCCTCTTTGGCCCTTCTGGAAATGACTATCATCAAGATCCTGTCAGGAGAAAAAAAACAACGTCCTGGAGACTGCTGAGTATACATAATGGGGTTTATCTTGTGCACACTGGATTTTTAAAATACAGCCTTAGAGAAACACCATGCCTACACTTAACAAATACAGGAAAAAACCACATGATTATCTCTTGAAGTGGCCCAAAAGAGCATTTGAGAAAATGTAATACTTTTTTTTTCTGATATTTAAAGGAACTGTCAGTACAGTAGGGCTGGGAGTGTTGGAGCTGCCTTAACTTGTCAAACTGTCAAATGGTAACCATGAGGATTCTAGAACAAACCTTCAGGTGTGAAGTATTAAATGCATTTTCTGCTAAAGTCTGGGGCAGGGGATCACTAGTCCTCTTACCCTTTAGTGTCTTCCAGAGCCTAGTTAATTCAGTGAGATGAACACTTTGAAAAAAACATAGTAACTATAAGCATTCAAAAGAAGCCACAGCTGTCCCCAGAGGCAGAAGATAAGATTATTTACCTAAAAAACGAAGAGAAGTTAAAACTGCTGGGATTCCTAGAACTAATAGAATAAAGTGGCTGGATATTAAGACCAGCATTTTAAAACCAGTGGCTTCCTTAATGCCGGTAATAACCAACTGGGAAATAACGAACTCTATAATAGGAACAATTATTATAAAACATTCAAGGTCAGTAAACTTAGCAAAAATGTAAGTGGTTAAAGTGAAGAGAACTGTAAAACTGAACTGACAAATGTAAAGAAAAAAGGCCCCCCAAAATAAAAATGGAGAGCATACCATGGATGTAGTCACTATTTTAGTTGACCTCCAAATACCTATGGGTGTCATGCAGTCTTAAATCAAAACCCTCTGTAAGAAGAAATATATTCTGAAATACCTCTAAAAGAATGAATATTATAATGTCTCCAAAGACATTTTCTGAAAAGAACAATGAGGAAGACAGAACTTGCCTTATCAAATATAAAACTTTACTGATATTATAGTAAGAAGTTTGAAAAACCTTAAGCAATGCCCCTTGCTTATGCAATATACAAAAGAAAGTGCCAAGTGAACAAAACCCTAATAACATTAACCAGTGGTGGTGAACCTATGTCACGCATGTCACAACTCTAAAAGGGTCACCATCACTGATATAATCCATTTACAGTTGTATTAGAGAAAAATATAGTTACATACAGATATATATGTTATATATATGTTAGTATGCATATGTATTATATATGTATATATAATATGATTTAAGGATAAAGTATAATTAGAAGTCATAAAAGAGATTTTCAGTGTATTATTACATTGCAATATACAACATCTCAGTAGTGAAAAACCCTATAAGCAAAGTTAGAACACAAAATAGCATAGGAGAAAATATTTGTTAGAGATAACATAGATAAGAAGATTATATCCATGATCTATAATGGTTTCTTATAAATGAACAAATAAAACACATTTAAAAGGGCAAAAAAGATGAAGGTATGGTACACAGAGATTAAACAAATACCCAGTAAACATGTAAGATGGAAAGTGTCACTAAAAGCTAGAGAAATACAAATTAATAGTGATAGGTGCTTGTCAGATGGGCAGCATTTTAAAACTTAGTACTGAGGAGCTGTGTGCTATCATATCTGTTGGTGTTGGTATGAATAAATACGACATTTTGGAGTACAATTTGGCAGTGCATTTAGAAGTATAAAAACTTTACATGCCTTGTGTGTGAGCAATCCCACTTCTGGGAATCTCTTCTACAAAAATATACACCTTAAAAATCCGCCTGTTGGGGAATGATCACAAATTATTATATCCATACTGTACAACATTACACAGCATTTAAAAAGTAGCTATTTGTACTAATGTGGGAAATTGCATATTGTAGGTTGAGATATTGAAAAACTAACCTAAGCTATGTGGGTAATATAATCCCATTTCAGCTAAATCATTTATGTGTGAAGTCTCAGGCATGAGAGGCTCTCAGCACACTATTAAGGATGGTCATCTCTGGGCGGAGAAGTGGGAAAGGGCGATTTGGGGTGAAGAGGTAGAAACAACGGGGGCCCTCACTGTCTGGACACATTGCTGCATTGGCTGAAATTTGCATTTGACAACTATTAAAATGTTTTAAATCCATGTAAAGAAAAAGAAAGAAAAGCCCCTCTCCCCATGACCCAGGGGCACTGTTGACATTTTGGACTAAAGGAGGAAAAAACTGAGTCCAGCAGAGTTAATTCAGTGGGAAATAAGGATAAATAAGATGATAGGAGAGTCTCTGGGGAGAAAAGGGACCTGGCTTTGTTCCTCAGGACTTGGCCATTTGCTGCTGGATACTGGAGAAGCCATTTACTTGGGCTGGGGTCCAGGTAGATTTTCTCCACTCAGCAGGTAGAGCTGACCTACTTCCCTTGGAGGAAAGGACTAGAGAGAAAGAATGCAGGGAAAGGTTCTGCCTGAGTGGAAAATGTTATTGTTAGAGTGACTATGAATGAATGTCAGAGTCCAGAACCACACAGGACCACCCCAAAGAGGAATGCTTGCCATAGAAGTAGGGCATTGCAGTAGGCACCATGGCAGGGGGTGGGGTGGGAGAAAAATTGACAAAACACAAAAGACTGTGTGGTATGATAGAAGGGTGTGTGTGTGTGTGTGTGTGTGTGTACGTATGTATAAGCTTAACATTTAATACAGTATAATAAACAACGCTGAAGTATTAAGGTGGAACTTGAAACAACTTAGGACAGTTGGATTTAAAATGCTTTGAGAAGGGAGCTTGTGCCTGTAGGGTGGTGTTAAGGTCTGTACGGATACGCTGTTGGGTAGTTTTGTTATTAAATCGAAAGAGTTTTCAAAAGGGAAATAAAATTAATGTACAACCGAAATGCGGTTTGTTTTCCGAGGCAATGTCAGGAGGCGCAAGATCAAATCCAGCTTGACAGCACTCAGCACAGGGCTCAGCAGTCTCTGGAAGCTGGAGCTGGGCTAAACGAGAAGTCCCCGTCCTCTGCATGCGCCTCGGGGCTCATCTCTTCCTCTTTGGCAAGCAAGATACAAAGAGAGCTCAAAGCAGAGTGGGACCCAAAAGGTCACCTAGAGCATTCATTTTTGCAAGCTTCCCACCAGGGCTTTCCAGAAAACAGACAAGCACAGTTTCACAGTTTTGCTAGAATCCAAGCCAATGGCTTCGTGCTTCGACCTGAGGGTAGGTTTTAATGAAACCAGAAGGACTTCACACACTGACCTGCCACTGGCAGTGAGGACAAAGAGGAGACGGGCCAGATACTGTATCCTCTCGTTTATTCTCTGGGTGTGAAAGGAGTGATTGTAAAACTCAGATGAAACTAGGAAAGGGAAGACTCCGAGCTCCCAGCATAAACATTTTGGCCTGTGAAGTTAGCTTTCACCAGTAGGACAAATTCAGAAACACAATATACTCACTGTTCTGTGGACGCTTGTGCATTTCTGTAGCGTTTAGCGCTTTGAACCCTAAAGTGAAAGTGCAGGTGTCTCCAGTATGTCCTTTTCTAACCTGTGTCCTTTCTAACCTGATGTTCTTTTAACATCCCTCCTCACCGTCTCCTGTGCCACTGAGAATGTCTGCATGGTTTAACATAGCAGCCTGGATCTGATCTGCCTCCAGTCAAGCCACTTCCATCCATCCACTGGCATTGCTTGAATCTTTTTCTGAAAACATCAGCTCTTTGTTATGCTACTGCTCAGACTCCACTGTGTGGTGTAGGGCCTCACTGCTCCCTTGCTGGTGGCCACATCTGCACTTGCACTTCTCCTTGCTCCATCTTTTCTTCTCATTCAGCGTTCCAGCTCCTGACGGCTATGCGTGGTGCCTAAAAAATGCAAACCTCTGTCTTGTCTTAGTGCCTGGAATATCTTCTTTGGCAGTGTATCCGTCTCAAGATGCAGCCATAGTGGGCATCATCTCTAAGCATGCTTCCCTGGAGACTTACATCCAGCCAGGCACCTGCATTTTATCCTAATTATTGGTCTGTCTTCGCAGCTTCCCTGGGAAATACCTTAAAGGTCAAAAACAAGTGGTTCTACGCATTGCCTCTTGCCCTGTGCCTGACACGTGGTTGAGCTTCTTGAGTGTGTGACAGGAAAGAATGAATTCATGTTTTTAAACAGCGTTTCCCTCCCCAGGTTGTAAACGTGTATGCATGGGTCACTGTTGGACATAATGTGAGACGAGGAAAGTCATAGTCAGCCTTCCGAGTTCTCAAAAGCTTGGTGAAGGTGAATAAAACAGTGACGGGGTCATGTGTAAATTAAAGACTTTTGCCCCTCATCCCGGAGTACTATTAAAAGGCTGTCTGCTGCATCTGCCTAGAGTGTGCATGAATTAAAACTCCTATGCTGTTCCAGGTCAGCTGTTGCCCGCAAACCGCAATACACCAAGTCCCATTGATCCTGACACCATCCAGGTCCCAGTGGGTTATGAGCCAGATCCAGCAGATCTTGCCCTCTCCAGCATCCCCGGCCAGGAAATGTTTGACCCTCGCAAACGCAAGTTCTCCGAGGAAGAACTGAAGCCACAGCCTATGATTAAGAAAGCTCGCAAAGTCTTCATTCCTGATGATCTGAAGGTAAATTGGAACTGGTAATCAGGCTTTGGGTGAATGAACAGTGAGTTCCGGGATTAAAAGGAAAACTCAAGAGCTGACCCCGGCAAGGTTATGTACAAGGTGTGATGAGAGAGTATGGTGGATATTTAAATTTTTAGAAAATCGATTACAACAAAAAATACATTGCCACTAAACCCCTCTAAATACTCCCCCTTGTTTCAAACACACTTATTCTTGCTAATTTCTAAAGCAGTTCTGTGAATCCTTTTGTGTGAGTGTCTTTAGTTACACTGTCGTAACTGCCTTGGTACCCTGAATCGATTGGAAATGTTTACCTTTCATGATCCTTTTGACCTTGGGGAAAAATTGGAAGCCATACAGCACCAGCTCTGTAGATAACATGGATGAGGATGTACTGTAATGTTTTTCCAAGTGTAGTCTTCCATTGGATGGCACTCAGCAGCGGCAGTCACCATTTTTGATCACGCTTTGTAAAGAAACAAAACAGAACTTTCAGAACTGCCCCTGAAAGTGGCAAGAGCTATAGGGTAAGTGTGTTGAAGTTGGGGGGAGGGTGTTTTGAGGGGGGGATTTCATGGCAATGTGTCTTTTTCTGTAAAAGAAAAACATTTAAGTGTAAATATTCACTGTATATTTTGAGCACTCCTTATAAACCAATCCGTGAAGTCCTCGTGATTTCCTATCCTGCTTGGTATGTGACTTCTTGGCATGTTGCTTTTCTCTCTGGGTATCTTTTTTTTGTTTTGTTTTGGTACCAGGGATCGAACTCAGTACCTTGCGCTTGGCAGGCAGGCGCTTGTGCTGCTGAGCTATATCTCCAGCCTCTGGATATCTTCTGAAATAATGCTTTCATTATTTGATACTAAACAGAGACAAGAAGAAGCAATAAAGTGTTGAAGAGATGGTAAGCCCATGAAGGAAGCAGACTTGCTACCATCCTCAAGGAAATCCGTGAAATATAACCCATATATCAAACCACAATCTTTCAAGATTAGAAAGAAAATAAAATTATTTAGGAAGGGCCTCTGGATGTTATAGTCCTCAAAATCATCTTCCTTTTGGGAAGGCCTCAGGGAATACCAATCAGAAATAGGACCTCCTGCCACATGGGCAACTAGGGTGACCAGGGTGGGAGATTCAAAGTGAAACTGGTGGATTCCCTGACACATTATATGTCATGTTTACTCTGCGTCACCAGTGGTGGTCAGCTGAGTGTCTCAACAAAAAGTTAATTTTGGATTGGAAACTCTACTATGTTGAAGGGGACACATTATGTATAAAGGGAAATAGATTTACTTTACAGAAATCAGTATAGCTTAAAACAAACCAGTACAGCTTGACACATTTTATGATATTTCAGGATTAGAATTCTTTCCAAAATGATGCCATGTCCACTAATACCAGCAGAACCATTTTTGATCAGCCACTTCATACTTTTTGTATTTATACGTCTTTCCACGTGCAAAGACAGTGGAGATCTGATTATACTTTTGAAGGCATTGGAACAAGACTAATTAGCCTTTTCGAAATTCTGACCCCTACTTCTCAGACCTAAATACGGTTCACATAGAGAAACTCCAAGGTTGGGAAAAGAGGAGTTTGGGACACTGAACTGATTTTTTTTTTTTTTACACTGAACTGATTTAGACCAGTTTCTGTTGCTTTTCTTATCTAGAAAGAACACAGGAAAAAAAAAAAAAACACAGGTAGAAGTACCTGACAGATCCAGATCCCTGCTGTCATGCACATATAGTGCCACCATCGATGCAGACTAGGAGAATTTCAGGGCCAAGGGGAACCTTAGAAATTCATTTGTCCAGGGTTATCCCTTTGTAGTTAAGAAAGAATCAGAAGAGAAGCACAGATGACCTCTACCTCAGGAAGTTCGCTGCCTCGGGTTAACCCTGACAAGGGCTACACCAGGGCCCTTGGCTGACAACTCAGTAACTGTCACCCTGGGCTGGGGATTTAGCTCAGTGGCTTAGCACCTGCCTGGTAAACATGAGATCCTGAGTTCAATTCCTGGTACCAAAAAAAACCCCCAAAAAACTATCACCCTGACAAAAAAGGAAAGTGTATGGAATCAGAAAATTTAATCTATTTGGGGCATGGATGGTTGAACTCCACAGGCTGTTGGATTAGGTCCAGGGATGGAGATACTGTCTTTCAGTTGGGTGCCTGTCATGATCTTATATGCTTAGTGATCCAATTCTGTGTGCTTTGCAGTCTCAACACTTGCCCTAAGCTAGGGAGCCTATTCAGCATGGATTTCCTCTTGGCTGAAGGTTAGCTTGAAAGAATGCTGCCAAGCAGTAGATAAAATTTCCAGCCAGATTTTCAGAGTCTCCAAATTTACATGTTCAAAACAAAGAGCAAGATTACTTAATAATGCAGGTAATCTTAGCAACAAAGAGGTGGTACAAAACGATCTGTGCTGGAATTACACATATTACTGCTGGGGTGGCTCTGTCTGACCTTTTCGCATGGTGGGTGGGGAATGGGCAGGAATACTTTCCTGTGCCCTTGGGTTTTTGTTTTTTTTTTCCAGGTGTGGGTGAACCTTCAAGTCACAGACCATGAGCCGGTGGGAAGCGGGAAGAGCTGTCACCTGTCTGTGGAGAAGACTGAACTGGGGTGGGTGGGAGGGAGGTATTTATGGTCCCGGGCACTGGACAATGAGCAAACCAATTGAGTAGAGCGGTATCCACCAAAACTGATGGATTAGGGACAGCTAGCATTCCCTGCAAGTGTTACAGGAGAACGCACTGGGGTTCTTAACTGAAAAGCAGTTTTGTTACCTGCATTTCTTTTTGTTTGTTTGTTTGTTTTTGGTTTTGTTCTGGTACCGGGAATCGAACTCACGACCTTGTGCTTGCCAGGCAGGTGCTGTGCCGCTGAGCTAAATTCCCAGCCCATGCATTTCTTAATACTGTTAATGTGCATTCATTCACTGGACAGATACTTTTCAAATGCTAGAGTATGCCAAGCCCCGTCTCAGGCACAACATTGTTCCTGGCCTCATGGAAGCTCTAGTCTGGCCAGCAGACGGAAGTGTTGACCTGTCAGAATGGCGTATGGCTGAGTAGGTTCTGGTTGGATGACGTAACCGGGTAGCCAGGTAGCATTAGCACCTGGGAGGTAGAAAAGAGACAGGAGATGTAGTACTCAGTTTATCAGTCCCACTCAAGACCCTGTTTCTCTCTGTCCCCACCATTCTGTATGACAAAAGGGGACAAGCTGGGTTTTCCTAGGCAGGACACTCCTCCCATCATTCCTGCCTCTGTGTCCTCTCTTCCACCTTCTGTTCCTGTTCCCCTCCGGCCTGAGCGTTTGGTGTGTGGTCTCCATTCTACTTTTGCTAGCGCATCTGCAGGCGTGGATGGGTGAGACTGGAAATCAAATCACTTTAGAAGTAGGAAGAGCTCTAAATAACATACAGAATGTGGTTGTTACTCAAGGTCAGCTGGGGAGTCCCCGGTCCTTTAGACCTGGTCAGTATTGTCACGGCTGCCACTCCATGGCCTGTGGCAGCACCTCGCTTCGTCCCTTGCTGCCACACAATTTACGGGGGCTTGTTCTCATGTACTGTCTAACCACCTGGCTTCCTGTTGCCCGGTATGCAACTGCTCATAAATCCTGAGTTAGTCCCTCTTTGGATTCCTCTTGGAAACCACACTCCTAGGCTCACTGATGAGTATGCTGGATTTATTGACACCATGAAAGGCATGGAATAGGACTTATGTCCAGGTGACACAAACAACCTCCATCAGAACTGGTGCTTCGCTATACTAACTATGCCTTTGAGCACCCTTGTCCCTGTGATGTCATTGGCTCTCCTGGTTCCAGCCCCACCCCCTTTCCCTCAGTCCCCCTACTGCCTCTCAGAAGCCAGACAACAAATTCCACCAACAGCCCTTGCATACCTGTCCAGGCTTGCTCACTCAGGTGTTCTTCAAAGCATAACCTCCTCCCTAAAGAGGAATTCCGGTGCCAACTATTAGAAAGATCATTTTTCACCCTGTTACATAGTAGTATGACACAATTAGAAGGCTAGGGGTACTTTAGAAATGAAATCGCAGTACCAACTTGTGACCAGCCCACGGGAGGCACCTACACACGCTTTTCATTTCACACTCTGTCTTTGTGCAGGGTGAGTGTCTGCTGAGGGTAATAGTGTGTCTGGGGGCAGATTTTTCCTGCATTCTTGACCCTACCCCACATGCCCTCCTCCAATGCCAGCACCTTCCCAGGGGATGCTGGGGGGCGGGAGGACTAGCCCTATGCTCTTATTTGGGTGGCGTGTAGCTGCGTAGGTGTGAGCTTGGCTAGGATGGAGGGATATGCTGTTGGATGTTGTTGCGGAAAGGAAGTTGTAAACTTCATCAGGTAACACGATCAATGACTTGGGAAGATCTGAAAGGAGACTCATTTCTTAGTAAGGCAGCTTTCCTTTCTTTTGGTGGGGTGAGGACAGCAATGAGGAAAAGGGAAGAATTTCTTTCACGTTGACCACAGCTAACAATTACCCAGAGCAACTGAGACCTAGAGAATAGTTAAGCAGGAAATTAGTGTAAATTATTTAAACACTAGTCACCGATACGAGTATAAGTATACTGATCAGTGACAGGTTGGAGAGTTTTTAAAATTTTTATTTTCAACAATCCACGTGTACATCCTATTGTACAATATTCTTGTAGTTCAGATACATTTAAAAGGTGGAAGATCCTACTTTTGTCCTTTGCCTCTCTGTCTCATCTGCCAAGGCATCACTTCTACAGCTTGGTGTAGAAGTCAGTGGCGAACCTGTGGCACGCGTTGTGCAGCCAGCTGTTTGTTATCACAGAAAGCTCTAAAAGGTTCGCCATGACTGGTATAAATCTTTGTGGACCTCTTTGTATGAATATATTATATTACAATTTTTTAATCAAACTGGAATGAAACCAGACATATTTGCCAACAGATTGCCATTGTCTCCATTCATGTTGTGCTATATCATGAACTTCTCGTTCAGTAGGGTCAGTACTTTGAACAGCTGTAGAGTATCTCTGTGTATGACTCTATCAGAACGATAGATGCGTACAGATAATTAGCTTTTTCCCTTATTTTTCTTTTACAAACAATGCTGCAGTAAAATCCTTGCTCCTGTGTCTATTCACTAGCAAAATCCTAGCGGGGGAGTTACAAGATCAATACTACACATATTAAAACAGTTGAGCGATATTGCCAAGTTGCTTTCCAAAAATATTGTACCAGCTTATACCAGAAGAGCCGATGAATACCCATGGAGGATAAAAGGGCTCCAGACTTTTCAGCCAAGCGAGTAGAGAGTTGGAACGTGCTTCTGGGTGTGAGGCGAGCTGCTTGCTTTCCTTCAGGCTCTGATCTCCAGCTCACTGGGCACAGACTGTGTTGGGCAGAGCAAGGAGCCCGTTGTGACAGGTTTGTTCCTGCTCCAGGAAAGAAGCCACGGCTCGTGGGCCATTTTCTCAGACAGGCAGAAGCTAATGGAAGGAGACATAGGGTCTGAACCTGGGCTGGCATCTCCGCGTGGGCTCACAGGCCGCTGGCACCCAGGTGACACTGCGCTGCTGAAATCTAATACCTCGTTTCTTTACCCTTCTGTGCCTCACGAGCAGGATGACAAGTACTGGGCGAGGCGCAGAAAGAACAACATGGCAGCCAAGCGCTCCCGCGACGCCCGGAGGCTGAAGGAGAACCAGATCGCCATCAGGGCCTCATTCCTGGAGAAGGAGAACTCAGCCCTCCGCCAGGAGGTAGCTGACTTGAGGAAGGAGCTAGGCAAGTGCAAGAACATACTCGCCAAGTACGAGGCCAGGCACGGGCCCCTGTAGGCTGGCATTTCTGTGGGCTGGCTTTGGGATAGATGGACAGCTTGTGTCCCGTCTGATAGCACCACACCCAGACCAACCTTTCTGACATCCGCACTTTACCAGAGGCATAAACACAACTGACTCCCATCTCGGTGTGCATCCATGTGTGTATGTGCGTGCGCGTGTGTACATGTGCTTGTGTGGTCAGCCATGTGCGTGTCTGTGTGCGTGTGTGTGCGGGTGTGTGTATGCGTGCGTGTCCCTTTGCACTTGCCATTTTGAGATAGCCCTCTCATGGTCTTTTAGTCCCCCAAAAGAAAGGTGCCATGTTTTTACTAGACTTTGGAGACCCCCGTGGGTTTCCACCCCCTCCCTGCTCCAGCCTGGCCCTCCCACCCCCAGCTCCCCTGCTCTCCTGGGCACTGCTGGGCGTCTCTAGGAAGGGCCCTGGGAAAACAGTGGATTTCAGTCCTCGAGAGTGCAAGCTCTTGTGTTTGTTGAACCCATACGTTACCATGCTAATGAGGTGCACAGAATAACTTAGCACTACACTGCAGGTCTATTCATTTATAGGTTGCTTTCCTCCTTTTTTATGTTTTGGTGATAATTGTCTTCAAATTTAAAGTGCTGTTTAGATTTATTCGATCCCATATTTACTTACTGCTACTTACTAAGTTTCCTTTAATTCCACCAACCCCGGATAAGTACGAGTACTATTATAGAACACAGAGCGTGTTTTTGCACTGTCTGTACCTAAAGCAATAATCCTATTGTACGCTAGAGCATGCTGCCTGAGTATTACTAGTGGACGTAGGATATTTTCCCTACCTAAGGATTTCACTGTCTTTTTAAAACACAAAAATTAAAGTAATGCATTTGAGCATGATCAGAATATTCCCCAGGACAGGGAAGCAGAGGGCAATGAGAGGTCTAAGACTGAGGGGTTAATTTATCAGTACATGAGCCAAAAAAAAAGGTGTCTTGGAGTAGTCGTTGATACGTTTGGTTTTGCTGTCTCTCCTCCCCCACACCGACCCCACTCCTATTTTTCTAGTTAACTTTTTCCATATTCCTCTTAATATTCAAAAACTACTTAAGATTCAGTTTCCCCATTTTTTGGTAATATATATATTTTTGTGAATTACACTTGGCTGTTTTAAAAAAGAATCAGTTCAGTTCATACGTTGATGTTTTCTACGACCTTCTTTCCTCGTGGTGTTATTTTTGAATGCCTCATACATTAATGATTCTGGAGCTTATGTTTCTCATTCTCTGTTTGCTTTTGAACGTATGTGCTCTTATAAAGTGGACTTCTGAAAAATGAATGTAAAAGACACTGGTGTATCTCAGAAGGGATGGTATTGTCACAGACTGTGGTTCATCCAATTTAAATGTTTACTATAGACCAAAAGGAGAGATTGTTAAATTGTTTAATGTTTATACAGAATAATTATAGGAAGTTCTTTTTGTACAGTATTTTTCAGATATAAATACTGACAATGTATTTTGGAAGACATATATTATATATAGACAAGAGAAAAAGGAGAAACTATTCCATGTTTTAAAATTATATAGCAAAGATATATATTCACCAATGTTGTATAGAGAAGAAGCGCTTGGGGGTTTTTGAAGTCTTTAATATTTTAAGGCTATTACTGACACATCAGCATGTTTTCTGCTTTAAATTAAAATTTCATGACAGTATTGAGGCTTGCTGTGACGAATCCTGCTCCGACGCGTTCTTATTTCTTATGAGGTCTCAGAAAGAAGTCAGTTAACATCACCCAAAAGCACAAAATGGATTTTAGTCAAATATTTATTGGATGATACAGTGTTTCTTAGAAAAAGCATCTGCCACAAAAATGTTCACTTCAAAATTCTGAGTTTCTGGGATGGAGCACTGCTGCCGGCGCCCCAGAGGATTCTGTTCTTCCCTTTGGGCCCATGCATCTGTCTTATGCAGTATAAGGCTGACATTGGTGCTATGTGTATGGCTTATAATTTGATAGACGTTTCCACTTGAAAGGGGAATGTTCTTTTGTTTCACTAAGTTGTATAATGCCACGAAATTCTGCTGTTACTGCCAAGAAGCATTTTGTGCTAGATTAAAATCCCCTTTCATCAATGGGAGTTTTCTAGTTTCCTGCCTCCAAAGTATATAATTCTTTAATGATCTGGTGGTCTCCTTGCCAATCCATCAGCAGTGTTTCTCTCTAATGTCCCGATTTTGGGAAAGGCAACCAGTGGGATATTCCTACCAGCTACCCATTTTGTTGTAAGATGCACATAATGACATAAGATGAGGGAATATTGGAACTGACATACATTGTTCATGTACATTACTAATAAGATCAACAGAATCTTTGGAAATCTTACGTAGAACTGGATAAGATATTCAGTAAGTGCCATAAGTAGTCATAGCATTGGCCTTTTTCCAGATGAGGAGGCTAACTGCACACTGTTAAATGGCAGTAGTCATTACACAAATATAAATTATATCTTTGAGTGGAGAAACATTGAAGGGTTATATTGTGGACCATCCAAATTTATGGAGTTACCAAATGGTAGCTGAAAAAGAAAAAACCATATTGGAGTACTGATCTTTTGTGGAATTAGGTTGTTTCTATCCAATCAGCATCACAAATATTTTCTGCAGAAGAAATAAAGACATCATGATAAAACTTACTACTTTGCGTGCCAGGAAAGGTTTCAAAAACCTACCTCGTTTTAAAAAAATTAAACACTTTGGAGTCCGTACAGGTGCCTTATATGCAGGTCATTGTAAACACACACACAAACAAAAACACACACAGGAACACACACGCACATACTCCTGGATTAGCTGCCTGTCTGTCCAAGGCAGTTAGGGAATAGGGCAGTTCTGTTGACTAGGGTGGGAAGCCATGGTCTGATCCGTAGTGACTTGAGTCCTGGGGTCAGTGAGTGCCTGCAGACTGCACCTATTAGGAGAGTCCTCTTGTCGTTTTCACCATTTCTTCCTAAGCATCTTTCAGAGATTAATTACTTGGCCATTAAAAATGAATGCACGTCGTACCATGGCAACATCATTTAGACAGTTGGAGTGGGCAGCATAGGACTTCTAGATAAGGTCACATCATCTTTTCTCTTGATTAAATTTGCAAAGAAAGGCAAAAAATGAGGAACCTCTCTCTGCTTATGCTACCTTGAGGGGAGGGGTGACGGATGGGAGGGCTGTAAACAATCACATACATCCCTTTTAGAATGTAGCCACTTTGGATCATTCAGAAACACACTGAGCAAGACTGCAACCAGACTTGGTCTCTGAACACAACAGGTCTCCATGGAATCTCCCCTCAAAGCAGAAGGACTGTTCGTCTGAATGGAGTACGGATGGGATTCTGGCACTTACAGAAGCCATATAAGATTCCCCAGGGGTTGCTTCTAATGCACTGATTTTGTGTGGGAACTCGTAACGGTTCTAAATGTACATTCAGAAAGGTCTATTGTCTGTTTTCAGAAGCGTCAATGACAATTTTAAGGGGCACTCTTCTGTGCCCCGGGATGAAACAACAGACTTTCTGTAAAATGGAAAGTTAGTCTGTGGTTTTTCTAGCAGTTCATCTCATTTTCCCTTTAAGAAAAACTCACACTTCATCATACTTAATTAGTGAGATCCCAAAGCATTGGCCTGCTTGCTATGTGGCCCTGGAGCCCTGGATTTAACACTGGGGTCACTGCAGGTGGCTGAAATGAGGTGTTAGGCCCTCCGAGTGGATACCTTCTATTCTCAATGTGTCCACTTCCTGCCGAAGGCTCCCTAGGCCCCCTCACTGATGAGGCCTCATTCTTTAGGTGTTTACTAAAAGGAATATCATTTAAAAATGAGCAAAACTTTATCCGAGGTCTTGAGGAATTAGATTTAGCAACTTACTTGAATGCATTTTTCAGGAGATGAAGTATATACAGGGGAGTATGTGTGTGCGTGGGTGTGTGTATGAAAGTTTGAAGACATAAAATAGTAAATTTTTGAGCACCTTACCAAACAATAACCCATTATCCTTTTGGCAACACCACAAAGATCGCATCTGTTAAACAGGTACAAGATAATATGAGGTTAGTTAATTTGTACACCATGATATCGGTGGTATTTATACTGTTAAGTTCAAACCTTTATCTGTCTGTTGTTCTTAATGTTTAATAAACTTTGAATTTTTTTCTTTTCTTTCATGTATGTTTGTTAACAGTTGGCTGGCAATCAGATTCTGGTCCCTCTACCAAAGCCAAGAGATCATTTACAGAGATCAGTCACATAGATGATAAAATGCTAATACTATGTAATTCATAACAAATTAAAGTTTTGAGTACTTTTGTGCCGGACATTGTACTGTACACATGAAGTGTTTTATTTAATCCCAACGCGATGAAGTGGGGACAAGAGTTATCCCCATTTACAAAAAGGGAAAGGAAGCTAGGCAGGATAAGATGTTTACCCAGAGGGGCAAAGGTAGACGTGCCAGAGATGAACTCTAGTCTATTGAATGGGTATCATTTAGAGGATGTTTTCCCAAAGCCACTGCACAAGCTATATTCTTGTTGGCCAGATAGAAGTCACCTGGGGTCATGTTATAGGAGAACAGATCTAGTGATTCTGAAACAGCTCTGGGACGAGGCCTAGACATCTGAATGTTTAATCCTTACGTGTGAGCTTTACAGTAATCCTTATAGTCATCTTTCAGCATCTAAGGAGGGTTCACTCTAAGACCCCCTGGATACCAAAATCTGCAGATGCTCAAGTTCTTTCTATAAAATGATACAATATTTGCATATAACCTAAACACATCCACCTGTAGCCTGAGTACAAATCATCTCTTCGTTACTTATAATAAGTAATATGATATAAGTTCTATGTAAATAGTTGTATTTTTCAGGGAATTAAAAACAAAGAAAAAACTACATGTTGAGTATAGATGCAAACATCCCAGGCCTAACTACATGGTGTAAGTCAGCAGCAGCACAGAAAAGGGGACAAAAGAGAAAAGAACTAGCGCAAGGCTTCATCAACAAGCACTTCTCTTGGGGAGGTCAATTTTCAGAAGAAAAAAAATACATATAAAAGCTGAAGATTTGCAGATTCCCTTCACATCTGTCTGTGCACATATATCCCTTGGATCTACTTGTGCACCACTAGATATGTGTTCTCCGATTTCACAATTCTGTGCAGGGCGAGTCCTGTGCACACTGCAGTCTGCATGGAAATCGCACCTGTAAGTGATGAGGGGCTCACTGAGTCGGTAGCGGAGTGAAGGGCAGAATAGTAGAGGTCCTTGCCATCTTTCAAAGTCCTAGGACTTCCCTGATTCTTCGTCTTCCTGATAGCGAACCATGGCTACCCCTGGCTCAGTACCAAATCCAGCACAATGCACTGCTTACCCCTGTCTCATGTTTTTGAGGGCTACTTGGACGGGGTATCTATTCCTTACAACTACAAGTGCTGCAAGGTGCGTGCCTTTTAAGTTTCCTTTGGTTTGAATCAGCCAACTGCCTTGTGGAGTGCCTGGTCCACAGAGGGAAGCACCAAGTCATCCCCGGTTATTTGGTGCACTGTCTCGGGTTTCTCCTGGGTGCCCTCATTTTTGGACAAAGCTTACCAGAGAAGTACAGCACCTGGGGGAACTCAGTTGCTACCTTGTTTGTTGGGTTCAAGAAGGTACAGTGGAAATAGCACACACTTTTGGAGCAGAATTAAACCTAGGTTCAAGCCCTGTCTCTGACATCCACTTATTTAATAAACATATTTACCGAGTATCCATTGCAGAGAAGCTGATAACATGATATGGTACTTAATCTTTCTAAATCTCAGAGTCATTTAATAATGTCTTAATATCGTTTGCATTGAGCAAGATAACAGAGATAAAGCACTTGGAAGTGGGAGTATTAAACCTTCAGTGGTAGTGAGTTCCCCCTCACACTGCCAAGCCCTGCACCCTTCCTGGACATCACACAAATAAGAATCCTCCGGAAGGAGGTGGCCCAGGATGTGTGTATGCTCCTTGGTCTTTGAAATTCACACAAAACACAGTGCACAGGGAAACATGATGAGGTCACTTAGCCCTCTGGTCCCTTTTTAGGCTAGACTCAAGTGCATGTTTCCTAGCCTAACATATTAGAGGACTGGGGCTAAATTAAGAAAGGAGTCTTAAAGAACCTCTCCTTTTCAAAACTCTTTTCTTAAAAATCATCTATCTTTATGTTAAGATGAGAATGCAAACAAATATTTGTTGGTGGAGACTGCGTTCCACCCTGGGTTGAAAACTGCCAGTTTAATGCTCATTACCAACCTCGTTCCCTAACCATTAGCATCACAGCGTTACCTTCCATCCCCAAGATAAAATGGTTATGCAAGCATCATGGCCTTTTTTTTTTTATTTTAAAGACAGTAGTAAAAAAAAATTCAAAAGAACAATAACAACATATCAGCATCACAGACATAAACAAAGCAGAACATTAAAAGTGACACAGGGCTTCAAAACAAAATGAGAGGAATTAACAGTGATTGTTATATTACCTATTGTTATCTTCAACTGCGTTGCTCAGATTACCAGATAGAAGAATGGAAGATTGTTCAAACATCATGGACTTTTTTGTATCTCCTTAATCAGCACTGATTTCCAAAAAACCACCCCAACTCTGCATATAGTCCAGTAAGCCAGAGTGAGTGCTTTGCTGACACAGCTCTTCCAGTTGTGTGCGCCCCTACCACACAAATAGAGTGCAATGCCCAGAGCCTCTTCTAGGTAGAAGCACTATAGGGAAATGGGTTCTGAAGCCCCTACTGGGAATGGGACTCAAAATACAAAAGAGGAGAGGCCACTGCTCTTTAGGTGAAGCTGGAGTTCCTAGCCAGCTGGGAAGTATGTGATTTTACCTTGGAAGTAGATATCACTGACTTCCAGGATGACTCGCAAGGCCAGTCACTTTCCATGTTTTTTCCCCCCACTAGTCAGTGCTGTCATTTCTCTTGGCAGAATCTTGTGACTTGGGAGGAAGTACAGCAAGGAAAGAGGGCGAGGGTCCCCTCATGAGCTTCTCCTGTGAAAAGGAAGAAGGGAAGGAGGATGGTCTCCTCCCATAAGGATCTACCATGTCTGAACATCACTACACAGCTGAACACTCCCTCATCTCTTTTTCATTTTGGCCCTTTCGGTAACTCTGGGAGATACTCAGTGTAGAACAAACAAGGAAAAAGATCTGGGGATGGTGAGGCTGTCCCGAGGCTCAGAGTGTGTCTCGCCCTCTGTGTGTCCCCAAGGGTGTCTGTGGACCACAGCCCAGTTCTGTGTGGGCTGGGAAGAGTGGCCTGTGCCTCCTCAGTCGCCTGCAGACATACTCCAATGTCTCCAGTTATAACTAAATAATTCTGAATAAAGTTTTAAAAGCAAATTTCTCTGACAGGAATTTGCTGACTCAGCCTACATCCTGGTTCTTCTCTACCTGAAGATTCTGGTCCATGCAGGAGAAGCCAGGGCTCAATTGACTCCATATGACATAGGACTTTCTTTCCCAAAATGGATGTTGTCCTCCTCCTCCTCCTCCTCCTCCTCCTCCTGCAACCTGGTGCTCCTCTTTCTAACTTTTCTGTTTCTGGCTTTCAAGCCAGAAAATGAGTGTGCTTTGACAAGGCTTCTGGGACAGCACAGGGGTGTCCCTCCCTGTCTCCAGCCCTCACCTGGGCAGCACTGCAGAAAACTTGTCACAGTCCTTTCAGGTCCTTTTCTCCCCTGCGGCCTCCCCAGAACTACAGAGGAAGCGGAGGCACAGAAAAGCCTCAGGAAAAAGTACCCTTAAAAGACCAAAGTCTTTTCTTTCTTTTGAATGAAGATGAATCTCAGAAATGGAGATAATTTAGGAGAGGAGACGGGGGTGGGTGAGCACAAAGGAGAAAACTTCCCTTGGTCTCACAGTTCGCAGCAGGAACCTTGGATTCAGGCTATTTGGGTACTGGGGTGGTCCCCCGGCCCTCCGTCTCTCTCATCTCCCTCTCTCTCCACCTCCGCTCCTCTCCTCCTTCCCCTTTTTATTCTCCTCCCTTGTGTGTGCCGTGGAGGTGGAGGAGGATGTGAGTGAGACTTGAGAGTGTCCTTAGGGAAAGCTAGGATGGAGACGCAAAGCCCCAGGCAATGGGTAGGGACAGGAAGGCCAGACAGGAGCCTAGATCTCCCGGGCCTGATGCCCACCATGGTCCCAAGACCATTCACTAAGGAGTCTGTGTGAGCAGGTAGCCTGCTCGTTTGTCACTGGCAGAAACCAACCCCCAGAGTGCTTGTAGGATCACACAGTAATGTCTGAGTCAGATGGTGCATGTACTATATTCCATCTGCAAAGCCTTTCATTTTCCAGAGGAGAGCCTTGCGGCCTTGAGAAGAAATATGACTTACCGCATGTTCTACACAGCTACGCGCAATCACAGTACGGAAACCCCTGTCTCCTAGGCCAAGTTGTTCACCACAACACCCTGTCACTCTTGTTGCAATTTTCCAGGGTGGCTTTAAAGGTGAAAGATAGCCTGATTCTTGTTTTGCAGGTGGAGAAACAGACCTGAAGGCCCCCATCCCTTACATCAACCGTCACCCAGGACTAAGCGTAACCTTTCCATATCTGAGTCCTGCCCTCTCTTCAAGACATTTAAATTCACCATGGGATCTTCTCTGGTCTCCTAGTTGGAAGCCGTGGCTGTGTCCTCTGAGCTTCACTCCATGCCAAACCAAGCTCTCCCCACCCCCCGTCCCTCTCTTTCGAAGGCTAACTTCCTACAATGTGGTTTAAATACATTTGCCCATAACGCAGTCCCTTCCACAAGGATGTCAGCATCTTTGACAGCAGAAATTGGAGGTTACGGATTGCAACCAAACCTAATCCTAACTAATCCAATATGTGCTCTTTGTTTTTTAAATGTGCTTCTGTGTTTTCATATTCTTTCTGCAGAGCTTTATAAAATAAAAAAAATTTTCTAAAAGAAAAGAAATCTAATTACTTGAAACACTGTGCTTCAACACAGCCTGCCTTGTCACTGAGACCTTTCCCCTGAACAGTGACACTCAATGCCTCCTGCTGTCCTCTGAGCAGATGCAAACCAAGATCTGGACTGGCGTGGCGGTCAGGCCTGGGTGTCAGCATAAACGGTGTCTGAAGTGATTTCAAAGGGGCTAAAATCAAAGTTCTTTATTATTCAATCATTTCCTCTTTTTGCAGAAGAAGTTTTTTTTTTTCCAAATCTAGTAGAGATTATGCAAGATCTTTTAGCAGAAATTTTCAGCTGTGGAGACTTTAGACAGCTGCTAGAATAGATTCTTAAGAGAAACAGAGGTATGGGCAATGTTGTAATCTTGGGAATTTATTAGGAAATGGGTATTTTCTTGTGTTTTTTGTTTTGTTTTGGCCATGCCAAGGGTCAAATCTAGGGGCACTTTATGACTGAGTTGTACTCTGACCCTTATTATTTTATTTTGAGACAAAGTCTCACTAAGTTTTCCAGGCTGTTCTCCAACTTGTGATCTTTGTCCCTCAGGCTCCTGGGGAGCTGGGATTGCAGGCAAGTGCCACCACCCTGAGCTGCATCTCTGCCACCACCTTCCTGTCAATATTAAAATTCCTACTGATAAACCTATCGCTTTCTGTGAATGAAAGTTTTAAAATTAGGATAACAAAAAGTTCTCTAATCATCTGTACATGAAAAACAGCTTAACAAACCTATGCAGTCCACTGGCATGAATATTCAAAGAAGGCCCATTTTGGTGCAAGTCATTAATAAATTTACAAAACTTAAGGGACAAACATAAAATCGATAATATTATTATTTCTTCTTGCAGCAGACCGGTGTACAGGTCTGAGTTTTTTCCTTTAAAAATGCATTCATGTAATTAAAAACTATCAGTCTACTACTCTTTTCCTGGTTTATTTTATTTATTTATGTTACTGACATGATTATGAATATGACACTCAATTAAAGAAAAAAAATGTCTGGTTTCCTGGCCATTAATTACCACTCTCTTAATTATATGATTATTACTGGAAATAATTGTATTGTACGGAGGAGAGGAGGTAAAGAGCTATCTGCTCCCAGTACAACCCCGGTGCTCCCTGCTATGGGCACAAGAGCCTCCCGACCCTCTAACAAGATGCACCTGTTCCCCACACCATTGTGAAAATGAAGCTCCAGTAACTAAGTCTGTTTGTTGAGGTTTCCTTACTTAACTGTAATCACCTTAGCTCTGTGTCCTTGTCCATTTTTACAAGCATGAAAGGAGAGACACTGTCCTCTTTCAGGGTCCTCTATTATCTGTTAGTGTTTCTCCTCCACCTTAGTATTACTGACATGTGCAGCCAGAAAGCGCTTTGTTAGAGGAGCCATCCTGGGCATTGAAAGATCTTTCTCATCTGCCTCTGTAGCCTGTATCCTCTCTAAACAGCAGCAATACTCTCTCCCCAATTATGACAACCAAAACTAGCTCCAGAAATTACTCCAGGTGAGAACCTCGACGTTAGGCTGGGATTCAGTGGTCTGTAGTTGAAATAGCCCTAGAGGGAGACTTGCGCTACCTTTGTTGAGCCACCATCTTCTGCACCTGTAGAGTTAGAATAATAACACCTATTCTGATGTGAGATGAAGTTCAAAAATGGTAATACATGTGAAAATGACTTGTACTGCTGCATAAGGTCATTGTTATAGACAGGTCAAAAATTTCATACTGCACTCAATTTCTGTGTGTGTGTTGGGGGTGATCTATAATTGACTTAATGTTTGAGTCCCCCCAAAATGATCTATAATTGCTTAATCTTTCAGTCCCCCCAAACTTAATCGGTCGATTAAAGGTAATTTCTTCTTTTTTAATTTAATTAGATAATTTAATTTAAAATAGGCTACTTCATTCCATTTAATCTCTTTGAATCAGAAATTCGATCAATTCAAAGTATAAATGTCCACGATAGTTCCTCCCAAGGCATCTCTCCATAGGTTATATCTGGGTGCAGGTGTAAATTACAAATCTCAGGGTAGAGAAGGAAGGGATCTCTGTTCCATATGATGGGTCTACTGCTCTCTGGGGCCATCTTTTTGATTTGGTGCCTGAACAGACCCCTGGGAAGAGAAGCTCACTGTGGTCTTTTGAGTTGCATGTGGAGATTCCTGCACCCTGCAGCTGTCTTATTGGCTTCTTAGACTGTTCTAGTCTTTCATTTTTTTCAGCTTCTGCATCTTCCTGGGAGACCTCAGATGTGTTCCCTGCACCAAACTAGAGTCTGCCAATATTAGCAAGGCAGACCTCTGGTCCATTCACCTTCACACTTTCCTTAGCCCCGGTTACCAGCTACCCTATGTATTGTAGATGCTGTACTGGGCCAACCATGAGCCATTTCTAAGAATTTTGGACTTAAGAAGAGTTCGCAGTTCTATTTTCTTATCGGCATGGTCCTGCTGAACATCCTCCCTCCCCTCCAAATAGAAACCATCCTAGGTTTGACCTTGAATGGAGGAGTCAAAACACCCCCCCGTACCTCTTGCCCTGTCTTCCCTCTCTTCTGAGCCTCCTCAGACATGAAAACCTTTTCCCATCCTTTCCCTCGGAGTGGGAGTTCCACTAACACCATGTCTTCCTTCTGCCCTAATTTTTCTTTTGCAGGGGCAACGTGACAGATGACCTTGGGGAAATAGATTTATCAATGAGAGAAAAAGACACTAAGAAGTACTCCAAAAGTATTACCAGTTACAGAGAGGGTTCAGGGACAGGGGATGGGAAAGTAAACTCCTCTGGAAGTGAAAAGCATGTTCCAAAGTGTCTTCATACTTCAGCCAACTGTCCTCCTACAGAAGTCAACTTCTGCTCTCAACAAGCAAAACCCATCCTCAGCGACATGTCTCTTAAAGTTTGAAAACTGCCTGGGCCTTCTTAGTTTGCCTTCCTTCTGTTCTTTCCCTCCTTGTTTTTCTGTTGCCATCTCTCCTCTTTCTGGATCTGGTTTCCTGTGTGGCCCACTCTGGGGAGTTGTCCCTGGAACAAAGCCCTTGGGTTACAGAGGGCTCCCCGCCTGCCTTCCCGTCTTTTCTGGGGAAGCTGGGCTGACACAGCTGCTCTGGCAACCAGTATTTCCACGAAGAGCGGCCAAGCATGTGGAGCTTCTGCTGAGGGCGCAGGACAACATCCTCTCGTGGAAAAGCCATCCCAGTGTGTTTCTTCAAAACCACCTGAGAGGACCAAGGCGGATGTCACGCTTCTTTTCATCCCCAGGCACCTAGGGAAGCAACTCCCAATGGCTCCATCAGTGGCCCCCTTTGAAAATCCCAACCCTCTAACCTGTTCAGGGCCAACTATCCTTCTGGGAAGCACCCTGAAGCTAAGGCTACATGCGTGTGTACTGACAGACACATGCACCACACACACATATGCATTCATGAACGCACTTCCCCTGGACTCTCTTTAGAAGCCTGGATTTATATAATGGAACTTCCTCTACCACATGGACTAAAATAACCCTGGCATCCCTTTCTGGGTGGATTTTAATTAGGAAAGACATAGCGTTTAAATTATGCTTATTACTTTCAGTTGTTTGTGCAGGCTGTGGGTCTAGGAAAAAGCAAGGGAGTCATGTGAGTTCGATGTTTCACTGGGATGGCTCTGGGAGAGAAAAATCGCCAAGGGCACTTTTAGTCTCCTTCTCCTGTTCCAGGCAGCTTGGTTGAGGAAGAAAGTCCAAGCTTTAGTGTCATCATCATCCTGACGGACGTTCCTTGGGTGCCCATTCCAGGCCAGAACCTTGGCTAATGAGCATTTTATATTCATTATCGCATTTAGTCAAAAGAGTTTGACTAACAGATCCTCTTTGGAACTATTTCTGGAGAAATAGCACCTTAGTGTGAATTAAAGGTTTCTCCTCAGAGCCATCACGACCTACGATAGTGCCTAGTCGTTAACGATACGTATATGATGATTGAAATAAACGTAAGTGAATGGTAAATGTAGTGGATGTGCTCTGAATGAATCAGATGTAGAAGAATATGTGTGGGAATGGGCTTCTGGCCATAGACTTTGCTTTTGAGTGTGTAGAAAGAGCACACATTCCTCCAGTCTCCAATAGATGGCTAGCATTCTGGTCAGATTTAAAATATGAGAGAATTTCTCTCCCCTGCCTCTCTCCAAAATCTTCATTGATATATTAATAAGGATAAAGTTTCAGGCCACAACTCTAATTTCTGACAAATTATTTAACCCGTCTGACTTAGCATTTTTTAAAATTATGTGTCTATAGTAGTCATAGCTACCTCAGAGAGTTTTCTAAGGATCTTAAAGATCAGATGTATAGCCAAGTAGATATTTTTCTTCTTTCTATTTTGTTGTTAAGGATACATTACATGACTTCTGCTATGGTTATGCATTTAATCATTTAACAAGTGCTTATTGTTTAGCTATTGTCTTTCTAGATGACATGAATACAATGTTGAATAGACCAGTGAGTGAGGCAGGGAAGACAGATGCTTAACAAATGAATAAGATAACATCAGAATGCAATAAATACTATGAAGCCAAAAAGAAAGCAAAGTGCAAAGGCTGGAAAGAAGGTAGGGTGGGAAAATCTAAATAAGAAGGTAAAGAAAGACTCTCCAGAAGTGTCTTCTAAGTTGAGCCTCAGAACGTAACAGGAAGAAGCTATGCCTAAATCCGTGGGAAGGGAAGAACAATTAAGTCAATGAAACAGCCAGTGCAAAGGTCTTTTGGCAGAATTGATGAGGGGACAGACAGCAGGTTGGAGAGCTGAGTGAGGGAGAGGTAGAGAGGTCCAGGACAGAGCCAGAGTAGAAGGTGGATAGACGCTGCAGCATGGAAGATGTTACAAGACTCGTTGACAACTTTGGGTTTTATTCTAAATGCAGTGAAGATATTTGGAAAGTTTTAACAGGGGAGCGGAATACTCTGGTTTATACTTTTAAAAGAACCCTCTGGCTCCCATAGGGAGGATGAATTCTAGCAAAGCATATGTGGAAGTGGGACAGGCAAAGGCAGAGGGGATGGTGGCCAGGAGTAGAAGATAGCAACAAATGGAAAGGCTTGGACCCAGCAGGTAAGTAAGGAGACTGGCACCAGCACTTATGCCTACTGTACTGTCTGCGTTTGACCTACCATGTGCCTAGATAAAAGCTTTGACTTTTCCTTTCATTAATGCATTTCCCTTTAATGCTTTTGCTGAGCTGGAAGGTCACTGAGGGTCCAGAGAAACATCAGGTATGATGATGTATTCATCAGGAACTCAAGCCCCACCCCCAGGCTTGGGGCTCCAACCCCAGCAAGGAAGAGGTCCAAGGAATTCACAGTGGGTTATAGCCAGGAAAAAGGAGGTCCACTTCCGCTTGTGGCAGCACAGGGAGAGAATCCATGGGTCGAGGAAGTTGGGAAGGAAAAGGTGATGGTTGCCTGGAGCCTCAGATGCCTGGAGAAGAACATGCCCTCTATCGGGTACACCTGCGGGGAAGCCCCGGGCAGGCCTTCTCTAGTGACGAACATTTCCAGTTCTACTTTCCCCAAATGCCTGGTCTATATTGCCCATCACTGTATTTCAGATACCATTATGACATTATATTATACATTGTACTTGTTCTAATGCCTTGTAGCTCTGTCTCCTCCATTGGTGAATGGTCTTCTTGGAAATGTCTTCTTTACTTTCACACACTTGGACCATATCAAGGGTCCTGGCACACAGCAATCAGTAAAAACCTGCTTAACAGTTACATGTATGACATTCCTAAAGGACCAAAGAACTTTTCTAAGATCTTAATCTCTATTGGTCACCCCCCCCCTTCAAAGAAAATATGACAGCCACAGACCAAAGGGTCATTAAGAAAAATCCACACAGGAGAAAAAAATTTCAATATCCCTTTAAAACATGTTTTATGCAGATGGTAAAATTAAAGGCCAAAAAAGCAGAAGTGACTTAACTGGAGCTACCACATTTGACTGTGACAGTCATGCCAAGAACCCAGATGTCCTGATTCTCGCCACGTGTCCCTCTGCTGCTGTGGCCAGGGCAGAGTGAGCTAAATTGTCACACACAGGGTGCAAAGATAACCATCAAAACCATATGAAGAACTGGCTGTGGGAGAATTCTTAGAAAACACATGGTTGTTGGGATAATAGGAGCTTACCTAGGCTGCTGTGAGCATGCCGTGCCTGTCCTGGGCAAGGCAGGAGGGCCCAAAGGGGACTGAAATCAGGAGTTCGGTGACTGCTGGACTGTCTCAGAGCACTAGGCGGTAACACCAAGGTTGTGCTCAGGAAAGTAAACCTAATTGTCACCACTAATTAGCTCATTTTCCACCTCCTGGGTTTGTGCACCTCAGAGCAGCCGAAGTCTGTCTGCATACTGGTTTATTTAGGGCAAACTCCCCAGGGGATATGGGGACCCGGAAGCCCCTCAGCACTTGCTCCTTCTGGATGCTTCAAGCAGAAGGAAGCACACATCTTACCAGATTTATCCTGTCCCCTCCCACTTTCAGGGATGGAGGGGAGGAAGAAGGCAGAAGGGGAAAGGAGCAGAAAGTGGCATGGAAGGGCTGGGGATTTAGCTCAGCGGCACAGCACGTGCCTGGCAAGCACAAGGTCGTGAGTTTGATTCCTGGTACCGGAAAAAAAACCAAAAAAAAAAAAAAAAAAAAAAGTGGCATGGAAGAAAAGAGTAAAAGCATCATTGTGATAATTCTGCGATCCTTACCAATTGTGGAGAGTTTTCTGCATCGGTTATCCTGCAGCCTTGATGCACCAGCTGCCCTGAAGGTGGGTTGGCAATGGTTTATGCCCCATTTGTACAGAGGAGGGACCTTGAGAGGAACAAAGAGACAGTGTTCCCAGCAATATCCTGCTTCCTATTTCTGCTGGTTAGCTGAGCACATTTTGGTGAAGGGTATTAGGAAGTGCACAAAACAAGTAATGAGGAAGCTTACGAGCACCTTGCTCAGGTGACTGGGTCGTGGGATTAGAAACTGGGTGAGAGTTAGGGTGCCAGTCAAATGAATACTCTATTTCTTGCCCTTTTTTTTCTTTACCAATCCACCTAGGCAGTGGGTTTGGCTTTCTGGGTTCGGGACATTTTTCTGAGCATCTAAAAATCTAAAAGCTGTGGATTTTTTTCTCTCAAATAAAGTACTTGTAGTGGGTTGAATAGTGTTCCACTAAAACTCCTATCTACCCAGAATGTGGCCTTATTTGGAAATCGGGTCTTTGCAGGTGTAATTTGTGAAGATGAGGCCATGCTGGATTAGGGTGGGCCCTAAGTCCAACACCCTGTGTCCGTAGAAGAAAACCAGAGTGCACACAGACATGGAGCTAAGTTCAGGTAAACTTTCTTCAGCAGTCCTTCCCTGATCACCTCCCATTCCCAGGCTGGCTGGACACAATCTCTTCCATGTTCCCAGAGACCAGTGATGGTGAACCTTTTAGAACTTTCAATGATACAAGCAGCCCACTGTGGCACGCGTGCCATAGCTTCGCCATCACTGCCATAGACTCTTCCAACACGGTGGTGATCATTACACTGATCCTTGTCTATTTACTGTACTGGGGTTCTGTGTTATGAGGACAGGTACTCTGCATTTTAGCCCAAGTGATCAACCCCTTATAGACAGCAATGTGTGACTGAACGGAGGTGTATTTATTGAGCAGAGAAACATCATTAGGTACTGTAATGGACTGATAACCAGTGGTCAACTTATAACCCCCAGCTGAACTGAGTAAGCATGGTGCTGGCAGTGGGAGACCCACCTGGGGACTGTTGCCAGCAGCATAAGAGGCAGACCTGGAGAAGAAGGAGCTTTTTTAGGAAATAAGCAGGCTTTTGGGAACTAAAGAGGCTGTTGGTAGCTGAGAGAGGCTGTCAGCAGCTGATAGAAGCTGTAAGGAGCTGTTGGTTGTTTTGGAGGAGCTCGTC